CTGGTCTAGATCCAGCAGCATCAGTGTACAAATATATATATAAAAATTCAAAAGTAACCATTTCCTCTTCATAGATTTATATATATTCACATCCACATATTTGATTTGTTTATTATCTATTGACCTATAGCTCATAAGCATTACTATTAGTTTTCACAGGCACAGGCTAATAGTGTAAACATAAAGCCTACAAAGAATTGCGAAACTTGTTATCTTTTATGATCTAGGTTTTATAGATGCTACTTTGCAGGAGGTTCTATTAATAAACTAGATAAGAAATGTTATTGCTAAACTTGCTCTCTAACAATGCCAGAGTCATAATTAAGGTTACAGTAAAAAATCTGGACTTCTCTCTCTTTCTTTCCTGTTTCCCTGTAGTGACTGAGATGCTGGTAAATGTCCTCAACATCTGCTCAGATGATGAACTTGGGTCAGAAGAAGATGGATTTGATGGTAAGAGGCTTGAATTTTTGTGTTAATGCTATTTCCATGGTGTCTCTTAGCTAACCCTAAAAATAAATTTCAAAGATTTGGATTATGTTTCAGTCATAACATACTATTGAGAATGAAAAGTATTGTTATAATTTCTATTTGCTTTGAAGAAATATACAAGACAAAAACCATCAGAATTTTCTCATTACACTGAAAACATTGTTGTAGTGAATGATTTATAACCATCTTTCAGTACCTTATAATTGCTAAGTGACATTTTTTGGCTCCTTGATAAAAAAATGTAATTGTTTTTTAACAGATGTTACCATTTACTGAGTAACTTTTGAAATACCCTTTAGTGAAGTTGTTTCTGTCAGTTATTCAAATTTTGATGTCTATGATAGAAGAAAATATTTACACATTGATACATTGGTATTTATGTCGGTCCCAATATTTTTTCATATCTGTAATAATAACTAATGAATAAGCTATGAGGTTTTTATTGTTATTTTTTAAGATTATTTGTTACTCAGATACTCTTGAAGAGTATACTTTCTCAATAAGAAACAAAGATTTATGAGCTTAAAGGTGAAGAAAAAAAATTACTCTGAGTCTTACAAAAGTACCCCAAAATGAATAAAAACTAACAAAAATAAAGTTAGAGGAAGAAAGTACAAGAGCACACTTTACTTCCATAAATATTAGTAAGTACCTATGCTGTGTAGGGCACTAAGGATGCCAGCATGCTTTAAAGACCTGTGACTTGATGAAGTTGCAATCTGGTTAGAGAGACTGATGTGAAGCAGATAATATCAATAAAATAAGACAAATTCTAAAAGAGCGAAGGCAGCAGGGGAAACTAGACATTGTGGCAAATTTAAATTGATGAAATTTTTACCTTTAAACTGTACTTAGGTAAAATGAAAAGAGAATGTGACCCTTTCTGAAAGTTAGTATCTGAATAGCATGATTTAATATTTACTTCGATCACATCTATAAATGTAAAATACCTAATGCTGCAGACAAAAGTGAAATAAAAGTGCTCATATACTCATTAACTAGAATCTAATACTCAGGTAAATTTAGTGTACAATTATTCCTACCATCTCATAATTTTTCTCCTTTCTGTACCTTCTCTTGTCTTCATTGCTTGTCTCTATGTGCTGTTTTTCAGTCATGTATCATATTGCAAGGAGATGTACAATGTAAGTTTATGTCTATAAACTTTTACTAGGTCAGAATTAGCTACAGAATAGCCATAAGAACTCACTTAAGTAAATATATTGATATATTTTGAAATATTCTAGAGATTGATGGATATATTATGTTTTAGTGAGATTCTAGATGTTTCATATGTTATGGCCACAGTTTGATACTGTTAACTTTTCCAAGGATAGTGATATTTAAAAGATAATATTTCCATAATGGCAGAGACTTTTTTTCTAAAAGAAGAATACTAATTTGGTGGAATCCAAATCTTAAAAGTCAACAATCACTTTTCAATAGATGCCTTTCATTATGTTCCTTTTATTCCTCAAAAGATTAATTAGCATTAATACAGTGATACTCCACTGTAAACAAATCTCTATTGTAGTCAAGTTCATTGGCTAATAATTATAATATAGACAATATCATAAAAATGTAGCACATTGTCTTGAATAACTAGACCTGCATAGGTTTGTAATTACACATTGATCCATGTGCTCAGCAAATATATATTGAGCATCTACTATATCCCAGGTACTATAGCCAAAAATGCCTTCACATTTCAACAATGCTGTTGTTCCTGCATAGTTAAACATTACCAAGACTAACTCAGTGTTTACTTCATTTATAATGAGTTCTCTTTACCCACCCTCTCAGTCACTTACATGAGGATATATTTCTAGACTTAATCTGCTTTAAAATGATCAGTTCCAATCAATGTGCTCTGCTCATAAGCAATTGCTTTCGAGCCTGCAAGTTCCAATTATAAGAGTGCATGTCCTTTTCAAAGCATTTGGAAGAATTTTTTTTTTTTTTTTTTTTTAAGCAGACCACTGAAATCTCACTCTGCCACACTTAAATCTTAGGTCAATCCTGCAGAGAAATAGCTAGAACCTCTAAACATGATCTTTTAGATCAAATCTCATAATATGCCTTATAAAGAAAAAAGAAAACAGAAATAAAAGTATTAATTAAAAGTATATTTGACTTGGAATATCATACATGTCAGAGTAAACGATCAGAAATTTTCTTTAGTACTTTATCTATCATGACGCCAAAACTATGGATTTCTTCAAAGGTGCTCACGGAACAACTTGTAAAACTTCCCAGAACTCTGACCCTCTTTAGGACTGCAGTTTATTGCAGTTTGAGAAGGGATTTCTTTTGCTTTTTCTTTTGTCTTTATTATTATTACTATTACTATTATTATTATTATTATTATTATTATTATTATTATTATTTTGTAATACTGTTTTCAACTTTAAGATGTTCCCAGTCCTCCCACCCTGCCTTCCACTTGCAGCCTGCAGAGTCTGTCTCTCTGGGGGCCGGCCTTCTACTCTGCCTGTCAGGCTCCTGGGCTTGTTGGCTACAGAGGTGAAAGCAGGAATCAGAAGACTTCAAAGAGCTTAAATAAAGCTCTTCTTTAAATTGCTGTTTATAAGGGAGAGGGGCATCTCTTTATGAGTCACTTATGAAGCCCTTCTCAATATTTTGTTCCTTATTCAATATCAGCTGAAAAGTCAAAGGTAGTAAGTAATGGTGCTTTTACAATCCGTGACTATTTTTTTATCACATCAGCTTGACTTCTTAGTGTCTATGAAATCTATAGAAAATAGATTCTAATAGAGATTCTTCTTATTTCCTTGAGAACTGAAAGGTGTAAGATGAATTTTGCTTCCTCAGTTTCTGTCAGCTCCCTTTTACCATTTAATGGTGATGACAGTAGCAAACACTTATGTGTTAGGCGTTATTTAAGCCATTTATATGTATTAACTCTACTAATTTTACCTTCTTGACCAACAAAAATTTATAAAAATTTATAATTATTAACTATTATTCATTTTAAATATATATATAAATTTACTCGGTGATTTATATTACCCCTAAACCTCAAATCAACCTATTGACATGGGTACTACGATTATCCCAATTTGACGTATGAAGCGATTGAGACCAGGTGAGGTGAAGTGAAAGCCTAAGGTCACACAGCTAGTGAAGCAATAGAGCCCAGATTCAAACTGATGTCTCCCTGGTTCTCAGACTCTTGAACTCCCCACCACCTGTGACTATAGAGCGTGAAATCCTCTTTGAAACAGCCTGATCCCTTTTTTTTTAACAAAACATTAACAACTAAACATCGTATAATTTAATTTGTTAAATATACTATAAAGAAATAGATACTTTGCCCTGTTATTTGGCCACGAGAGTCAAATATATGCAAATAAAACAGTTTCATTCTACTCCTTCAACCATAGTTTACTCCAAAAGTTAGAAGTGTTTCGTGAGGTTAAAAATTGCGGTATATCTGAGCAGACAAAAAGTCCTCTGGCTCACCTAGGCTTCTGCTGGGTAGAAATCACGTCATGATACCTCCTCCCTCACTTCTTCTAAAGGAATTTGATAGCCTGTCTAGAAAAAGGTTGCTGTTTTCAATTGGTCTGTGGTTCTTTTATGTCGAAAATAAAATACAAAACTTCTGTTATCTTGTAAAGTTTTGAAGTAGTTTAATGCCAATGAATGTCTGTCAAGGATCTAATTTATATGTATTGGGGTCTTTGCTTCCTGTTTCCACTTCTTCTGATTTTGGATGATAAAATGATAGTCTGGTTTCAATTTGGAGTTGGTATTCGCCAGACATTTAGAGAAGGAAGAAATCTAAGTAGATGTACCTCATTTGGTAGTCAATTCCCGTTAATGAAGAGGACTCATTTCAGACCAAGAGTTAGTAAGTGATCTCAAAGTGAAGGGAAAAGCTGATAGAAATCAGGTAATCTGGATCACATAGGTTTCTTTAATGTTTTTTATTATAATAAGGAAGTCTGGAGCAGCAGAGCGTTAGAAATAACATTTTCATGAGTTAGAAATGTTTATTAATTTGGAACTTTCTTTTTGGTCCTCAAATCTTAAACTCTGAGATCACTTTTTTTAAATGTATATGCAAACTTTGTGTGAGACTGTGGTATGTGATAAGTCAGGCTAACAAGAAGGAATTGTGGAGGTGAAACTGAAATCCTATAGGATAAGAAACAAAAGGGGGAAAAACATACATTTCAAACCAAATATAGTTTCAGGCTACACTGGAAAGACTAATATTAAATTAGAATTTATTTCTGTGCTTTCATCTAGAGAGCAAACCACATGGTGGAACTCTTATCCTTTATCCACATTTTTGCCTTATCCTAATGTTAACCACAGACAAGTCACTGAATATGGCATCAGAGCAGTTTTTTTTTCGTATGCCTTTAACCATCAAAATTGTGTACCAAAAATTATCTTCTATCGTCTGCTTTGAATTATTAGATAATTCTTCATATCATGGGTTCCCAAGCGTCTCCCCACTTCTTTCTGTCTAGTTTTAAAAAGTCATACAGAGCTTTTGAAAGTGCAGAGTTGCAAATTAGCAGGACTAACATGGCATCTTATTGGTCCTTAAGGAATACCTCTGTAAGGGTTTGGTTATATTATTTTCTATAAAAACAATAATAATTTGCCGTGTCTAATGTTTGAGATGAATTTTATCTTAAAAACTCCCCTCCGCTTTGTGCGTCCGGCAGCACATACACTAAGAGCCATTAATTAGCTTAGAGCTCTTCTTGTGGCTGTGTGATCGTCATTGCTGAGCAACTTACTTTAACATTCTATATTTCAGGTTCCCACACTGGGAGGGGGGAGGGAGGGGAGTTGTATGTCCTATAATAATTGACAGTTTTAGGGGGGGAAGTATCAAATTTTAATATAAAAAAAATAGAAATAAACGTTTAGACATACAAAAGTAAAGAGCTCTGAGGATTACAGAGACAATATGATTTTTG